CTGTTAGCAAAAGCTTAGGCTGTTTATACGTGTGCTGCAGGAGTGCGGGGGCAAGAAGCTCTAACTAAAGTACCCAGAGTGTCATGTGTATCAGTGTCCCCGCACTGAAAAATGGTTGCGGGGGCACTTTAACTAAAGCTCATCGAACAAGCTTTAGTTAAAGCAGCCCCACTGCCATTTTTTTCAGCATGGGGGATGCTGATACATGTGGTGCTGGAGTCTGCTCCAGTGCACTGTAATTGCAGTGTGCCAGGGCAGCCTTGCTGCATGTGTACAGGCAACCTTCGAGTTCATGCTAAAAACATGTTTAGGCTAAAAATCTTTTCTGACTGCCCCTGATCTGCACAGCTGTGACTTGCCGCTACAGGGCTGGCAAGCAGGGGCCTGACTAGGAGCTACTGTTGGGTTGCCACTACAGCACCAGGCTGCGGGTGCTCTTGGTGTCTGTGCTCTAGGTGGGGGTGGGCTGGAAAAATGTGTTGCTGGGGGCAGGACTGGAAAGGGGAGAGTTTAATGATGGGGACTGGGCAGTGAAATGGGAGGTGGGGAGGCAGTGGATGGGAATACCATCTGGGGCTGGGTGGCGAATTGAAGGGAATCAGGCACCGAAGCCACTAAAGGAAAATATTAAAAAGTTAAAATTTAAAAAGAAATAAAGAGTAAGCAAATTAAAGAATGTGTCATGTTTTAAGAAACTGGGATTGGGTAGCCCCAGCTCATGGGGACATTGCCCTTGTCTTGGGAAGGAAGCCCCAGCTCACAAGGCCCCCAGTCTGGCCCTCTACCTTGTTCCCCCATCTGCCCCTTTTAGCCCTCTCCCCTGGCGTGGTCTGTGCCCCTGTGAGCTGCCTGGCTAGCTCCCCCGGGGTTGGGGGGAGAGTTGGCTTGGTGCCAGTACCGTCTGCTGGGCAGTAGAGTTCAGCAAGGTGGGGAGAGGGGACATTGCTTCCTGGGAGGCTGGAGGACTGAAACTTGGGTGGTGCATCTCTGGTGAGCGGCCACACACCTGGGTAAGACTGATCAGAGAACTGCTCTGGAGCGGTATGACTTTAAGATGCCTAAAGGGTTCTTAAAAGTAGTTTACATGTCTTAATGTGTGAACAATCCAGGGCGTAAAAGGTCCCCAAGCAGCCTAAAAGTACAGTAACAAAGCCTTCACTATACTTTAAAATGTACTTGTACGTTTGTGAAAGAGAGCAAGCTGAACTGAAAATTAACCTTGTTAGGCATTATGGTTTATAGGATCATGGAGCAGAGATTCAGAAGACCTTTGCTCTTGTCTCAATTTTGCCGCGGAATTGCAACAAGTTGCTTCCTTTCTTTGTGCTGTAGGATGGTGATGGTATGTTCTTTTGTAAGAACAGTTTGAGATCCTGTGATGCAAAATATAGTTATAAGGCCTTGACGCAGCAATGAAAAGTACAGGAAAGGACACGTGCCCCCATCTGGAGCCCTAGTTACTTCAGTGGGGTATTTCATGTGGTCAGGAATATGGAAACAGTTGCTGGCCTCCAGTCTAGGAAATGATTGCAGTTAATACTGGCACTTTCCAACACTGCAGTATTTGGGCCTGAGGGAAGCCTCTCTTCTTCAGTGATTTGGGGAGAGGACAGGTCTGAACTATAGTGCTGTAAAATCTGAATTTTATCTAATGACATTAAATGCATTACAATGTTTGGTTAATTAAAAATCCAGGGAGTCCCTTTATGGGCAGACTGAATACATTCCTGCGATCCCCTATGCGAAGGGGAACCTCCCCCCCTCTTTTGGAGTTCCCACTGATGGCTCCAAAATGGCTTTAAGCCATTTCCAGGTATCTTTCTACATGCTGAGCTATTCCCACTGAGGTCACTGGGAGTTTTGGAAATCAAAATATGGCCCTTTTGTGATTGTATGTATTGCAGTATATGAGAAGCAGTAAAAAGCTTGGAGAACATGTAAAGAACATTCATTTCACCTTGTGTTATTTCCTTAGCAGGTGAAGAGTCTGCTTTTTGCTCCTCTGGCTTTCTGCAGGAAAAGCAACGTGAGTCAAGGTTCTTTACACTATTTTTTGTATACCTTGTTGTGCAGCAAGCTAGAGATAAGACTAATACAGAACTAAATCCAGACTTTATGCAAACTTAAGCCTGTTTATGCTTTGTTGAAATGCTGTCGGGGAGGGAGGGGGGGATCAGAATTCGCTTGTCCTTCATTTAGCCAGTCTTATAACTTGTATTTAATCAAGTTACTGTATGTTTTCACTTCATTTTTGTGTGTTGAGTAATGTTTTGTAGCTCTTGTTATTGCTGCAGCATTCTGGAGTAACTGGAAAGTGAAGGTGTTTGCATACTTTGCATACTTCAAGGCACATTGTTAGCTGAACAATACAGTTTCACTCTGCATTTTGCACTTCAGAAGGATTGTTGTTCAGTGTACTCGGCCCTGCTGACAGTTATGCCTGCTTCTAGGGATGCCAGGCAAGTTGTCATGATAGATAGATCTAGGTTTCTACTGTAGATAGGGTTGGGTTCAAGAATGCTGCCAAACCTATACTTGTTGAGGAGTCCCTAGGTCACAAGGCCTCCTCTCAGGACAGATGAATTCAAGTATTAGCGTGCTGTTTATTGCTCATACTCTGCTGCCTAAGGGTGAAGAGTGAGAGCTGTTCCTTGGCAATGCAGAGCTCTGGGTTTCTTGGAGAGCTTCCACCATTGTCCTGCCTGAGAACCCCTGCAGGTTTCCTCTTCTCCCTGTTTTCTAAGAAATCCCTGCATTGTTTTCCCCCTAACCTTGTCCACAAGTGCTTGCAGTAGCTTTTCATGGTAATTAACCCTTTTGCAATGACACGGATACTCTGCCCAGTGCCCACCTCCACTGCCTGCGTATAGGACCATGGGGTTAGTGCCAGAGAGAAGGCTGGTCTTTGAGGAGCAGCTCCTCCTCCGTGTTATTTGACATATAGGAATGCTGTGTTTTCTCACATACAGTGAGATGATACATGTCTTGTTTTTGAAAGGCAGAATGAAATAAATAATAATAAAAAAAAGATCTTAGCTTGCATTAATGAACTGAGCAGCAGCAGCAGCTGGGGAGTTGAGCCTGCTTATGGTTCTGTTCCCTGCGGATCAGTGCAGACCGTACTTTCGTTTTGGCTGGCAAACTGCTGAAATTCCTCTTACTGTATCTTCTTGCATACAATGGATGCTCCAGTTTCTAGCAGCTGCTTTTTTGGAGAAAAAAGGTCCCTGTTGTTTGCAAGAGAATATGGCCTATTAAAAGACAGTGCAGTAGAGAGATTGCAGTGCCAGCTCTGTGCTGCTCCTGCATCGGTGCTCTGCCTGCCGTTGCAATCCCTAGCACAGGGCCTGATCCACTCCACTCCATTATTTTCCTCTAAACATTACAGCTTGTGAGGAACTGAATCTCTAAGATATAAAAATAGTCTTTAGCATTATTTAATAGAAAGCATATGTTATCGCCTTTATGCGAACATATTTCTCACAACAGATTTGTTATTATAAACAGCAAGTTGTAACGTGGCAGATGGCAGAGAGCCGCTTGATTTCTTCTGGGAGTGTGACTATGGAAAGAAGTTTTCTTCAGGGACTGTGTGACCATCTTGTGCTTTTTACTTAATGTTAATTCTCTTGGTTTAACCCCTAAATTCTTTTCAAATAAATACAGCAAGGGATGGTTAAGCTGGTTGGCTTATATTAAACCTGAATATTTAAGGATTGTATTTACCCCTTTTGGAGTTGGTTGATGGCTTACTGTTAATAACAAGTGTTATTGTTGATAGTTTCAAACCTGTCTGGGGCATTTGGCCTGCTTACAGATGTGGGGGGGGG